AAGGTGCAAAAAATAAACGGGGCAAGGACGGGATGGCAGAGCACTCCCTTTGGGCAATTTTGGGTTGGGCGGCTTGTGGTATTTTAAATAGGGGCAGATTGTGTTACACCCGCCCAGAACCATCCAATTACTATCCGTACGAATGGAAGATAAGTGAAATTATAAAATATGAAGGGATCTATGTAAAAATATTGAATAACTTAAATGCAAGTAAGTGAAATTAACCTAAAAAAATATATATATATATATATATATATAGTAAAGCTGTTGGGTTGAGCCCACACACGTAATATTCGTAACACCAACGAGTCGTGCACACAAACCTTTGTCTGTCTAGTTTATCCTTTGAAAAAAGGGAATCATTGACACTTGTACTCCCTAATTAAAAAAATAAATCCGCAAGTGTGTTAATTGCTTTTTTTTGCACACAAGTTATATATATATATATATAGCCCTGGAGCTGACCAGACGTAACTATCTAATGCGGAGTACACTCTTATGGAAAAATAATGTCAATAGAGAATTTGGGGAAGTTCTCCCGAAAGAGAGAGACAGTGCTATTTTTAACAATGATTACGCAAAGATTCACAAAAAAGCTGAAAACAAGTTTACCTTCTTTTTTTTTTTTTATTCCCTCGAATTGGAAATAATTTGTCAAGCTTGTAAATGTTTTGATAGGATTAAATTGAATTAAAAATATATACATATTCTAAAATGCCAACAACAGGTCTAATTAATTTTCACATGCCAAATTTACTTCTTTAATTCAGACATTTACTTCTTTTCCTCTCCAGACAAAAATTTTCCCCAGAATTGGGAATATTTGTTAAGGCTTGTAATGTTGAATTAAATAAATTTTTAAAAAAAAATCCAATTTCATGTGTAATTAATTTATACCCCAAGTTTATTTCTTTTCCTATCCAGGCATGTCTTACCCTTTTTCTTTTCTTTTTTACCTGAATTGGAATTTTTTTTTTTTGGTAAGTAAGTGAATTGGAATTTTTAAGACTTATAATGTTTAATAGGAATGAATTGAATTAAATAATTTTTTAAATGCCAATTTCTTGTCTAATTAATTATTGATCCATAATTATTTTGTTTTTTGGTTGTATTTTTTGTAAATCTCGACACTCACATATCCACGTTGCTCCTCTTAAGAGATTTCACCATCTAGTCGTAGGGGGTGGTAAAATTTGACACGACACGTTAATATAACTCGAACACGTACCACACGAGATAAATGAGTTTGGATTTGGCTTAATCGTGTTCATGTCGATCTAAATTGATACACTAATTAAACGCGTCGTGTTAGTATTTGACTGGCCAATCCGTTTATAACCCGATTAACTCATTTAATTAAATGTGTCAAATATATGTGTTGAATTCATGTTAAAAATGACCCGTTTAACTAAACGTCTTAAAATAAATGGGTCATGTTGATGTAAAAAATGACTTAAACATATTTTGTCTTATCACGCGTGTCGTATTGTTTTACCCGTGTAATAATCGTGTCATATTCGTATCAGAATTTCTTGACATAGATAATAATCACGTCATGTTTGTGTCAACCCATATAACATAATACCTATACAATTAAAAATAATAATAAATAAATAAATAAATAAAAAAACAAACAAACAAACCATACCCATCTGTAATTAATAGAAAAGTTGATGTCTACTAATTAAATATATATTTTAAAAAATTTAAAAATATAATAGAGCGATCATTACAGTTGGTTAACTTAAAAATAAAGACATTTCTCAAAAACATAGGGGTCCTACCCAAAAAATATATATTATCCTTATAATTTTACACAAATTTGTAAGATTATTCAGGTGTTTTGACGTTATTGGCCACACGCGTAATATTGGTATCAACGTCCAGTTTATACTTTATAAAAAATGAAATCATTGGTACTTGGCAATCTAATCCATTAGAATTGTTTAATTAAAATAATAAATCGGCAAGAGTGTAAACGGAATTTTAAAAATAAAAAATAATTCTAAATATTTGTCATAATTTGACCCGACCACACTTGGTACACAAGTAACCACCACATAATAAATTATTAATACAATTAAAATTATCTAATTAAACTATTATATCGGCAAAAGTGTAATGGAATAATTTTTTTTTTTGAAAAAAATAATTTTAAATATTAGTCATAATTGGACCCCACCACTTTGTACACAAGTAACCACCACCTAGTAAATTAATAATAAAAAATAATGTCAATAGGGAATTTTGTGTTTTTGGGGTAAGTTTCTTCGTAAAAGACAGAGACGGGTGCCAATTTGTTCTGCGTGACAGCGACTTGTTGTCACAAAAAAGCAGAAAAAACATATTAATGAGCTTTGCGATGCAAGTCAAGTGGTCTTTTCTTGACCCTGTCGTGCACGCTGAACAACTTTCTGACTTTTGGAATAAAATATACATTTTTATATTACTCCGTATATTTTTAGGAATAATAACAAAAATATGGAGTTTTGGTGGCTAATTTACAAAGCATGGAATCAGGATTTTTACGAGAGTATGAGATAGACATGGAAAAGCCACCATTCGCATGGATGATAGAATGGGGTAGGTACCCGCCTTCATGGGACAAATTGCCATCTCTATATCCATTCATATGTCTAAGTTACCCTTATATTGTGTTTGGCCGCATTGAATTGGTACCTTAAATTTGAGATTGAAGAAAATTTAGTATAAATTTTAAACTAAATTTCCTCCAATTCTAAATCTAAAGTACCAATTTGGTTCTCCTAAACATAACATTAATATTATTAGGTGCCATTTTTGTATATGTAAATATCACTTTTGCGTACATAAAGTAGTACCTACATGGACAAACATGGCACCTTTATATACAAGAGTGATACTTCTAATCACAAGAGTATTTGCATGCACAAGGTAGAAAACGCATATACTTCTCTTAAGATGTTGTGACGGTATTAGACACTCGGACACTTCTTAGATACGTTGATGTGGTTTGAACACGTATCAGATGTGACTAGAAATATTCTGAATAGTAAATATTTTATTTTCAAGTCGAACACGGTTGGGACAAAACATGGACATGGCAAGAATATGTTTTACAAAAATGGAGTTTAGTGCAATTTAAAATATATTATAAATTTTATTATAAAAATAATATAAAATTTAAGGAAAAAAAAATTATAAATTAATGATTTATTTATGAATATATAGATAAATGGCAAAAAAAATATATTATTATGTAATGTTATGTTACATATTTTTAGGGGTGACAAAGTTTGACACGACCGGCCATTTTTGTATATGTAAACACTACTATTGTGTACACAAGAGTGATACTTCTAATCACAAGAGTATTTATACGCACAAGGTAGAAAACACATATACTTCTCTTAAGATGTCGCAATGATATTGGACACTCGGACACTTTTCAGATACGTCGATATTACTTGAACACGTATCAGATGTGGCTAAAAGTATCATAAATAGTAAATATTTTATTTTTTGGTCGAACACGGTTGGGACACAACATGGACATGGCAAAAATATGATTTACAAAAATGAAGTTCAGTGCAATTTAAAATATATTATAAATTTTATTAGAAAAATAATACTACAATTTAAGGACGAAAAAAAACATCTAGCTCTAATTTCCAAATTAATGATTTATTTATGATTATATTTGGATTGACCTTAAACGAGTTCGGGTCGTAAACGGATCGACATGATTAACCCGTTTAGTTAATCGTGTTGTGTTTGAATTAAGGTGGTTCAACTTGTGTAACCCGTTTAACTATACGTGTCATAAAAAAATTTATATTTAAGTTCCAAAATAACAATTTAAAATTGTGTCTTATAATTTACTCTTTTGTAGACAATAGACTATTTAGTAATTTGGTTAGATTAAAATTTATATTTTTCTAGTAATTATTGTTTGATCGAATATTATTAATAATTTAAATAATATAATTTTTTATTTTAATACATAGGCCATTAAATGGGTTATACGTGTAACCCGTTTAATAAACAGGTCGGGTTAGTATTGAGAATTTCTGACACAAATATTAAATAGGTCGTGTTCGGGTTGAATTATTTAGTAGAATATCTGAGTATTATTAATAATTTAAATAATATAATTTTTATTTTAATACATAGGTTATTAAACGGGTTACACGTGTAACCCGTTTAATAAACAGGTCGGGTTAGTGTTGAGGGTTCTTGACATGAATATTAAAGGGGTCGTGTTCGAATTGAATTATTTAGAAGAATACTTTTAGGTCGACATGATACGATTATGACCCGCGAACATGAATTGTCATCCTTACATTTTTTAATGTATCCATGCCGTATCCATGCCTTATTTTTCTAAAATTTACTGCATATCATCTTGTAGTCGTATCCTATATCCAGTGATGAACCTAGAAAATTTTGTGAGAGGGGGCGACCTTTTAATTTGTGGGACAAACTTATATAATTGATTCATTTTTGTAATTTCAATGGAATTTTTTTCATAAATTTTTAAAAATTCAAAGTATAAAATGTATTAAAAAAAAAAAAAAATCAATGGGGCGAATTGTAATTTTAGTGGGAATATCTTCATAAATTATCAAAAACTTGAAGTATAAAATGAAAAAAAAAAAAAAAAAGAATTTGATGGGTTGAATTGTAATTTTAGTGAAAATATCTTTATAAATTTTAAAAAAATTAAGGTATATAATAAAAATATAAAAAATCCTATCCATGTCATTGGTTGATAGTGCACAAGAGACGTACCCCTGTTCACTCAGAAGAGGAGTACTTAGAAATACTTGAAATCCATGAAGTTGATTAATTTGTAATTTTGAAATAGTTTTAAAGAATTTAGAAAATAATATTTTTTAATAACTGAATTTTTTAAAAATAATTATTTTTAATTGTACAGTTTTCATATCATAATTACAAACCAAGTAGCCTCTAAAACTTCATATTTCCGTAATTATCCCATATTATCATATAGGAGTAGGTATAAAAGTACAGCCGGCGGAGCGTAAAAGTCGTAGAACCAAACACTCGAGACATTTCCCAGATCACGAGGACAGATTTCTTACAATCTCCGCTGCGCTCTCTCTCTGTGTAATCGCTTCAACAAGGTATTGCATAGGTGAGAGTATCAAACTCTTAACTCTATTCACAAATTGACTTTCATTTCGTTGTATATATATATACATGTATCTGTTTGTTAATCACTCAATCTTGCTTCGAAGTTCTGCATTGTGTGAGCTCTGTTTGGCTGCTGAGAAAGAGGTCCGGAGTAGAATAGAAATCGGTACTGTGAATCTAGACTTGCGTAACCATTCAGACAACTGAAAAAACAAAACAAGTGATAATTGTGTTGTTATATTGAAATCAAAACAATATTGTTTGGCTGCTGAGAAAGAAGTCAGGATTGAATCAGAATCGTCGTGGTAGTTCAATATTCTTGAAATAAGTTCTTACATTTCGTGTTTGGATCGAATCTTTTTCTAATATTTAGTAATTCAGGATTGTTAATAGTGTTTTATTTATTTATTTTGGCTGGATCTGTGTATTTTTTGTTATTCTTTATTGATTTTTTGCTCCTAGCAAATTGTATGTTAGTGGTAAGACAACAAATTTTTATCCTATTCGCCTCAAATTAGGTGCTGTTACACAGGTTTCGCCAAGAAATAAAATTTATAAGGATTTATAGCTATTTTTCCCTATATTTTCTTTCATAATTTTCCTAATTGATGTTTATGATTCTTCAACTAGTTATTGCTGCGACTGTGACCTGACCGAAATGGCGGAGGATAAGTGTGCAATTGTAAAAGATGTTACCCAAGTAAGCCATGCTCATAACTATCTCATTGCTGTTTTTATTTTATTCTTCTTTCAGCTTAATATTTGAAGACCATTGCTAAGATGGGAATATTTTCACTTTTGGCTTGTACAGTTGATAGGTAACACACCACTGGTATATCTCAACAACGTAGTGGATGGCTGTGTCGCTAGGATTGCTGCCAAGCTAGAAATGATGGAACCCTGCTCTAGTGTCAAAGACAGGTATTTTCCGGGATGAATTTATTGGTTTTTTCTTTTATTAATTTTGATCTTTATTACAATTTTTAGAATCTTTCATCATTGGTACTTTGTTTAATTTTGATTTAAAATTTATTCCTTGGATGCAGGATTGGTTACAGCATGATACAAGATGCAGAGGAGAAAGGCCTAATTAAGCCGGGCGAGGTTAGTAACTGAATCCTTCTTTTATACATGTTTGATAGGATTCCAATTTTTTTACATTTCTATATCTTTGCTCCATCTTGAGTTATTTATTTATTTTTTCCTTCACTTTCATTGTTTATCTTAAACCAAATTGACCATCATTCTTGCATTATTTTCATATTTTCCTCGTTACATCATGCAAGATGGTCATACAAAATAGGATGTTCATGAAGAATATCTACTTCCATTTCGTAATTCATCTTGTGATTTCTTATTTTATTATTAGATAGATTTACTACCATTTAAACTTGGTTTTGAGGTTCCTATATGTGTTGGGTGATATACGACACCATAGGGAGATAAGACATAACATTAATGCATCACTATCATCTTGGGATATTTTGTGGGATTTCCACTACTTTTTGTGTGTGTGTGTGTGTCATACAACTTTCATTTCAACATGCCAAATTCATCTAATTGTTCTCATGGGACAGTGTGAAATTGTAAGTTGCAGCAACTAGCTGAACAGGAACTGATTTTGTCAAAGTAGTGTGAGCATTCCTGTATCTTGTATAATGCATATGGCATGCTGTTTGTTGTTCCTTCAATTTTCATATGAATGAAACTGACTAACAGTGTGTTTATGAGTTTTTGTATGTGTTTCTTACCTACAAAATAAATAAATAAATAAGAGAGAGACTAACTGTCGTTTATTGTCTGATGGTTTCTGAAGAGTGTTCTCGTTGAGCCTACAAGTGGTAATACTGGCATTGGCTTGGCATTTATGGCGGCTGCTAAGGGTTACAAGCTAATCATTACCATGCCTGCTTCTATGAGTCTCGAAAGGAGAATCATCCTCCGGGCTTTTGGAGCTGAGTTGGTTCTTACAGATCCTGCCAGGGGCATGAAAGGGGCTGTTCAGAAGGCTGAAGAAATACTGGCAAAGACACCCAATGCTTATATCCTTCAACAATTCGAAAACCCTGCCAATCCCAAGGTATTCTCTGCATTTTTGTGTATACCATTAAATGTGTGTAGCTGATTTGGGAGTTTAACCATCTGGCTGATAACATCTGTTTAGGTTCATTATGAGACCACTGGACCTGAGATCTGGAAAGGCACTGGCGGGAAAGTTGATGCCCTTGTTTCTGGGATAGGGACCGGAGGTACGGTGACAGGGTCAGGGAAGTTCCTTAAAGAGCAAAACCCTGATATCAAGGTTAGTTCTTATTCATTCTCTAATATAGTAGGAAAAATCATGAGCTATTTAGTTTTCCTCTTTTTCCTTCTTTCAGTTAACAAATGTTCTCATTCCTATGTTGCTATTTTGCCTTCTATATTCATGTTTAGCTATATGGTGTAGAACCGGTTGAAAGTGCAGTGCTGTCAGGAGGAAAACCTGGTGAGTCACAACTCTTACATTTGCACTTACTATTTTCCATATCCTTATTGTCATTTCAACGACCATACCTTTTGACTTAAGTTAGATCATTTTTTGGACTGAGGGGATGGAAGGAGTGGCTGGTTTAATAATATAGAGGAAAGGACTACACCTTCAGTAGTTCTGTTAGGCTTGTCTTGTATGTGAGACATGTATTAAAGCATGGGTATTCCTACACTAATAGCCACGGAGCCATGTCAAATGAGTGGCAGCACTAGATCAATTTGTCAGTACTTGATGCCAAAAATCTGCATGGCAGAATGGTTATGAATCATCTGGTATGGCAGTACAAAATATTTCTTGAATATTTTTTGTGAAAGGTATTGATATCCGCATCTAATGGCGAAGAATAAACTTATGTGGTATCATTCAGTATTTTGCTACAGAGGTTTCTATATGTAATGGACTAAGGGCAGTCATTGTGTGAATAAAGATGAGGGGTAGGGTCTTTGCTCAATAGACCCATCCCAATTCTAGAATTTACTGGACAGGAACTATATAATGACCTTACTTCTCCTTTCCCCATGCGCTAAACTTCAGTTGTCATCAACACACATAGCCTTAAGCACAGTGCTTGCCTTTTTCTCTTTGCCCCATGTGCTAAATTAACGGTTGTCATCAACACACATGGCCTTAAGCACAGTTCTTGCAGCAACTAGAGTTGATATAAGTGAGAATTCTAATGTCTAAAGCAGCATGATTGGCCATTTATGCCATTTTCTCAATTATTGTTGTTTGTTTGGGGATTGCATAATATCACTTTGAATCCCGATATACCATTTATGCTTTTGCCAATAAGCATCCATCTCATAAACATCTCATGGTTTTACGTTTCAAAACAATTCAAAAATTTGTGATCACATTTTGTCTACCAATTTCTCTTTTATATGAATGCACCATTGATTCGTCTTTAGACATATAATTTGAGTTGCAATATATGCTTTGACATTGGCATTTGAAACCACCCATGAAAATTCTGACCTCCTTGTCATTTCACTGCCATTTATCTTCTTTTTGTAGCTATTACCCATACTTTAAAATTTGTTTCTTTTCGGGCACTTTATTGACTAACATTATCTTATTAGTTGTCTTCATTTTAACCTTAATGAATTGCATACTTCAAATGTTTTAGGACCTCACAAAATTCAAGGAATTGGTGCCGGTTTCATTCCTGGAGTACTGGATGTCAGTATAATTGATGAAGTTGTTCAAGTAAGCCCCAAAACATTTGATGAGACATTCTCAGTTTCAGTAATCATATGGACATATCTATTTATACATTACTGTTACTATTCTTTGTTGTATATGTACTCGAAGGTGCTTTAAAGTTGTGTGCAATGAGAAAACATCATTGGTTTATTGTTTGACTGTGCATATGCTGTCATAGTCCTGGAGTGGCTATTTGAAATATTTCATTAGAATTTGGGTCATTTTAAATCTTTTGATCATCTATTTCTTTGGTTCCAAGACAATTCAATCTTGATTCAAAAATTAACATTGTGTTCGGACATATTTTTACATCTATTGTTAGGAGCAGCAGAAGAAATTTGAATCTTCATTAAGGTTTGGTTCCCGGTGCTAATCAGGTGGCTAGAATGGTGTTTTAGGAAGTATTTGAATCTGGTGGTATCCATATTACTGATTTTTAGATTTGGTTTGCAAGCTGGTGATCATTTTTAGTAGGTTTTCTGTTGGTTGTTAGGGGTATCTTGGAATATTTGACTAAACAGATTCTCTTTTCTTTTAATTTTCATTATTCTTGGTTTTTGGAAATGAGCATATTCAAGCCATCATGTTGTAAGGTGAGGGTATGCTCTCATTCTTTTTTTTGGATAAGTGGGTATCAGGGTATGCCCTCACTTTTTTTCTCATATATGTTTTGATTTGGTTTTGATACAATCACTTGGTGAAGGGGGGCGGGGACCATTGGTAGAATTCAATTTTGGGAACATAGCATTAGTTTCAGCACTTCTCAGTATGGAGTTGTGAAGAAGAGAATTCTTCAATTTGATTATTCAATAACCCGCTCTCCCTCTTTCTCCCCAGGCTCCTGTGTGTTGCAAATCAGATTGCAAAAGTAAACGAAGAGTATTACCAGATCTTTATCGATCTCTGATTTTACATGTTGAGTAGCTTGGCATTGTAGTCTTGAAGGTCTATACAAACAAAATAGGAATGCCTTTTCAAATTCTTTTTTTTTTTCCTAGTTGGTACTCACACACACGTCTCTATTGAGACTTGAACTCCTGACCTCCCTTTGGAAAGTAAGAGGTTGATACGGCTAGGCCACTGGCCCGTTGGTCCTTTTCAAATTCTCCTTGCTGAATGATGCCTGCAAGTGCGCATTTGTGATCTGGACTGGGTAACTTTAATATTCTCGGGTGGCATGGGGAGGAAAGTAGCCTAAGAACCGTGTTTTGGATTCTTGAAAGGGAAGTGAAGTGCACAATTTGTTGAGATATATCTTTTGTTGAAAGTGTTAATCTAATTGAATTGATCAGTTGATATGTTGGGATCCCTTACCGTGATCGGCTTTTGTATCAATTAGAAATCTTAGACCCATTGTGAGATGGAACATACTTTTGCGTGTTTATTTACTGAGAGGTTATTTCCACTGTTATGTTCATACTTGCTTGAGCAAACACTGCCTTTGCGTACATTGGTATTTAGTCAGTTTATTTTCTCTTTTATTTTGATACTTGCTCCTGTTTGCTTGTACGGGTGAGATTGTGTAATTGTTTTTCACCTCTTCCATGGATTTACTGCCATTATTTTACCCTTCAGATTGAATACTAATCTTGGACAATATTACTGAATTCTGATGTTTGTATGGAATTGTAGATATCCAGTGAGGAATCTATTGAAACTGCTAAGCTTCTCGCATTGAAAGAAGGTTTGCTGGTGAGGACACATTAATCTGTTTCGGTGTAAATTTCATAGCTTTTTGAATCATTAACTTCTTTCTAGTCGCTGGAAATTCTAGTTCATCTTCGCGTTATATTGTAATGCTACAGGTAGGAATTTCATCCGGTGCTGCAGCTGCTGCGGCTATTCAGATAGCAAAGAGGCCAGAAAATGCTGGAAAACTCATTGTTGTAAGTTTGTTATTCCGTTCTCCATTGATGCGGCAGTTCCACAAAAGTTTGTTTAAACCTCTGTTTCATCTAAAATATCATTGATGTTGTATATCAATGGCTTGGAATAATTCATCTTACTGCACCAGTGTTTTGGCGAGATTATAAAAGCTTAAGTTCCTAAAAATTATCTGTTGTTTCTACCTCAACAGGTGGTCTTCCCCAGCTTTGGAGAGCGGTATCTGTCGTCTGTATTGTTCGATTCACTGAAGCGGGAGGCAGAGAATATGATTTTCGAGCCCTGAGGTGTTTTCATAGCTTTAGTATGGTGCACTATTGTGTCTTATTTGTGGTTTGGTCCAGCAGATGAGGACGGTTCATGGTTTGGGGGATTTTGCTTTTTATGGTTTTCGAAATAAGTACCGTAATTAGTATAGAAGTCGATGTTTGTGTTGGGAAAATATTGCTTGGTTGGACTTGGAACTGAAAGCTATATTGTGAAATAAAACGCTCTTTTTTCCTATACGGTTTTTTTCCCTATGATTTCAGTTGCGTTGATTGTGGTGTTACACTGCAAATAAACTTTTATTATTATTATTATTGTTGTTATTACTATTATTTTATGACGGAGCCCTTCCAACAACCTTTGGACACCTGGCTACAAGGTAAACCTCCGGTGTGCAGGGAGGCCTCCAATCCAAGCATACCAATTTTAATAAAGACTCACCAAAGGACCAAGTGGTCCAGCGGTAAAAGCCCTTGTTCCTTAAAGGGGAGGTCAGGGATTCAAGTCTTATGGGTGCGTGCGGAGTATCTTCAGGTATTTTTTCATCCAAAATATATTATTGTAAAAGAAACAAGTTGGAGAGCCAAACTTGACATTCAGCCCTAACAAGCTCAAGTCTAGTGTATTTTTCTACAGCGCATGTTGAGCTCGGGTTTGGTTGGGTTAGGCTTGGAATAAACATGGGTTAAAGCTTATGTTCAACAATAATGTTATTACTAATAATCAAATAGGTCAGATTTGGTTAAGACCTTTATTCAACTCCAACCCAAATTGAGTTTGAGTCGAAAAAATTCAACCCATGACCAATTGGAGTAACAAAAGCAGTTGTCTAAACCCATGCACGGACTAATATGGGCTAAGGTTGGGCTTGGATCAACGACTCAAATTGCATTCCTACTCAATGGTAAGAGGATTTAAGTGACTGACTGATCCATGTTGTTAGGATCTCCATTTTTTTGGAGATATGAACTAAATGACACCTTCTATCGAACTTGTTCACACCCTTCTGTCTCTTCTTGTGATTTTGGTCACTGTGGTCTCCTATCACTTTTTTAGTAGTAGCAACTGCTAATTGTCACGTCCTTGTTATCTAAGGAGGTATTGACCTCAAGACAACAATAGCCTTTAGGGTTCGGATTCCAGTTTAATGCTGTACCTTTTATATTTCAATATAACATCATTTAGATTGAAAAACTTACCTTTTGGCCTAGGACAAGTATAATAAACTATCACTTGGAAGCATTTTTCTGAAGGTAATAGTGCTATTGTTTTGTGTTTGCACACAATTTGGTCCTCTGAAGGGATAGCAAAACAAAGGACTGACAGAAATGCCACGCGCGAGGGAAGCATGATTCATTGTGATGTCGCGGGGTTCACCTCGAGACGGTCACCTCGCGTATAAGAGGGAAATACGCACAGAAGGGTGAGGGGCCACCCTTCAAAGTCTTACTACTCTTGACACATTTGTGTCTCAAGTCTGGTGTTACAACCTCACCTTATTGGGTACCTCAAGGAGAGAGAACTCGTGGTGAATAATAACACATGGAACTCTCAGTACAACCTAGGATTATGTTGAGTTATAAACACTTGGTCTAAGAGCATGGCGGTGGTGATGGGACAAGCACTAGCGATTTAACCTTTGATGGGCTAACAAATGGTTTGTTTGCTTTGGTTGGCACATCCGCGTCTTGACCCCTCTACCTGGGGAAAAGCCATGTTGATGACAACTTTGTTTCCTACAACACTCTAACAAAGACACTTTCACGGAAAGTGTCCTGAAAAAAGGATCGTTTGAAACATGGTCACGATCAAGGCATGTATCACGGGAGTAGATATCTGTCGTGCAGAGATGTTGCTTTGAACGGCTATGGTCTGGTATCCGAGCGTACCATGTCATAACCTAGCATGGGGCTTGGCAGGATTGAGTAAAGGGCTCGTCTAGGTGGAATTTAGGTAGGCGCAAAAAATGTCACTCTGACATTCCTCGCGAGGTAGACGGATCCATGTTTAGGCTTAGAGAATAAGAATAGGGCATGTGGTCCAATCATTTGGTTCCATGTGGAATGCACACGTGCTCGACATGTACTCCACCTTCAAAATAGTCATAACCACCATTATGATCATTGAAGTTTAGCAGTGGTGCTTGCTCCCTGGCCGACTTTAAGTATTACAAAATAGGAACCGGATCAATCAAGCAAGGCTTGAAGGCCTATTGGAAACCTTCGTTGTTACCATAGTCGTTTTGGTTTTGGGAGTGGTGGGGTGCCGCATATTGCCCCCCACGTGGCATATATTTATAAGTTATGTAACATGGAGGCGAGGGAGGAACTCTTTGGCCGTTCCAAACTCTTTAACCATTCCCAACCATTAGGTGGCCCATTACTATCCTACTCGTTTTCTGCCCCTGAGAAACATTTCCTTGGCGATTATAAGCATTCCCTCCCCCCACCCCAAATTGCCATTCTCAATGGCATTATTTCATGGGGTTGAAGGAGGTTGATGCTGAGCAATAAATTCATTGGGTGTGCTCTATCAACTTGAGGAATGTTGCCTCCTTATTGAGGTGGAGGTTGTTGAACCTCACCTACTTGTATATTTTGGGGAATCTAGTTTTTCCTTTCGGGTTCGCAGTCATAGTTGATAGCTGCCTAGGCCATCCTTTGGGTCTGACTGTGAGGACTTGTCCCTTTTATTTTATTTTTATTTTTTAGTATTTTCTTTTTTCCCTTTTTTTTTTTTTTTGGGATCAGATCTAGTCGGACCTATAATGACCGCGTCATTTTTTCCTTTTTTATGAGTATTTTTTAATTATTTATTTAATTGATTAATTATTTCGATTGTTTATTTGTTCTTTTCCCTTCGCGTCGCCTTAGGGTTTTGTGTTCGGAAACGTCTTCCGGCACCGCATGCATTCGCCTCATTTTATTTTAACGTCGATGCATGATTTAATTTAATAGAAAGTATGCTAGCTTGTCTTTAATTTTTGAGGGGTATGGATGCATAGTTTCTTTGAAAACATTTTCGCTTTATGTGGTGCTTTGCGTAAATATACTTTTAATTATTTTTTTCTTAGGGACCATTTTGTAATTTATTTTGTGAGATATTTTGGGGAGGTACCTTTTTGCAATTTCGTAAAGTGTGATAAGTGTCGCGCTCTCATTGGTCCACTTGTAGGCTTGTAGTGGTGACACTTGGAAGCCTTAGATGATGACATGTGCAGGGTGAGAATTCACCCACTTGTTGTCTTAGGATTGGAACACTTGTTGGCTTGGGTGTTGACAAGTGTAGGCTTATGATTTAGACTTGTGAGGGTGCTTGGATTGGTGACAACTGTAGGCCAAGGATTGAGTCTTGCATTTGTGTGTAAGAGAGGTAGTGTTGGTATGTGTGTGTTTGACTATCAATTGCCTTAGGTTAGTGGAATTTCTAGTCTTCTCTAACCTCTCGCCTTGCCTCCATTGTTGGCCTTGAAACCCTAAGCTTGTAAGCTCACATTCAAGCCTCTTCCTCTCACTTTTGAGCTTAGCATTTAGGAGATAAAACCTTCCCCTCTTTCTTCTCTAGAACAACTTTTCTCGGTTTTCCGATTTGTGTTTGTTTGCCTTGGATTCAAGAGATTCTATTCTCTAGTGAGGTGGGGGGTTGTTGTATGCTTATGTTCTTAGTGTTTTAGTGCCTATGGAGTTTAATATATATTGTTTACATGCTTGTTGAATTGTTGTATTGCATAACATATGCTTGACTTAGGGTTTTATGATTTAAAGCATGTATAGCTTGTATATATTGTGTAGAAACATTATTGTATTTAGTAGCTTGTTGAATTCTAGATATTTATCTTGTTGTGATAACGAACTCTTGTGGTTATTAAATTCTAGGGATTTATCTTGTTGTGATAATGAACCCTTGTGGAATATTACTATATTTACCTTGCAAGCTTATTACTAATTTGTTGTGGACTTTGTAATTGCAGCTTATTTTGATGGTAAATTGATTTAACATAATATGTAATATCATTGTTTTGTGTAGCAAATCGCACTTTGAAGATTTGACATTTCGTATGCCATTGTAGTAAGGAGACTAAAAGCATGGTTGTGTGTGATTACCAAATGTTGGTTGAACATGGAAGGTGTTTAGTTGCATTATAGCACTTGTAGTTGTTGTGACAACTTGTAGATTTTGGAAATACTTGGGGCAAAGAATTAATGAAATGGCTAGGGTTTGGCCCTAGTACGGGAGGTATGAGTTCTCCCTATAATATAATGCGCACTTAGGTAGTTCCTTGGGTTCTCCCTATAATATAGTGCGCACTTAGGTAGTTCCTTGGGGGTTAATGCCCTAAAACAACTTGTATTGCCTTGTGTTGTATAGTTCACAACCTTGTCTTGTGTTGTGAGCTCACACCGGACGCCGCCTCTAAGTTTTCCACGTTATATGATTTCGCATTCAATTCCAAGTTGTTAATCATAGATTACTTGTAACTTGTGAATTGGTGTTTGTAATACCCCTAATTTTAAAAGAATAGTCTCGGCATTTTAGTTATTGTTTTATTGCATTTTTATTTGATTATTTGCTTATTTGCCTAATTGTTTTACGTATTGTTATTTAATTGAGTTAATGGGGTTCATTGTATTATTTATTTTATTTAATTGAATTAATTGTTTTAATTATTTAAATGGTGTAATTGAATTATGTGTTTTATTTAAATGAATTCATTGGTTGATTTGATTCAATTAGTTTTATTAATTACTAAAATATATTTAGGGTTTTATATGTCTAGGTAATCACGTATTGGGTATAGCCGACTTAGTTATAAATTTAATTGTTTTCCTTTTCCTTCTCTAAGCATAATTAGGATTAGGGTTTATGGTTTTCTTAAGCGTATAAATATATAAGTACGTCTGTCTAGGGTTGAGAAAACCCTATTCACGTACAAAGAGATTTGAGAGGAAAACAGAGGGAAGTTTGAGAGGAAAACAGAGAGGGATTTGAGAGATAACTGGGGAGGCTAAAGGAGGAAGGAAGGGATTGCTTCTGGATTGAACCAAGAGCAACGGAGGTGTTGAACGGCAGTCTAGAATCTGTCGGAAAACTCAGAGACGGTGGTTTAAGTTTTCAAAACTGAAACCGAAGGCAAGTTCCTATTCTAACTCCTTCCCTTAGACCTGTGTTCTGTGCATGCCTAGGTAGTCTCTAGGGTTTAAATTGATGTTAAAATATATCTTTTAAGCATGTTTGAA